AGCTATTATAGCTGTACTCAAGTATGTAGAAGTAGCCTTCTTATAGGCTTCATTATAGTGGCTAACTCGAGTTGCTAGGTGTAGCTATTATAGCTGTACTCAAGTATGTAGATTTAGCCTTCTTAGAGGCTTCATTATGTTGGCTAACTGGAGTAGCTAGGTGTAGCTATTATAGCTGTACTCAAGTATGTAGATTTAGCCTTCTTAGAGGCTTCATTATGGTGGCTAACTGGAGTAGCTAGGTGTAGCTATTATAGCTGTACTCAAGTATGTAGATTTAGCCTTCTTAGAGGCTTCATTATAGTGGCTAACTGGAGTAGCTAGGAGTAGCTATTATAGCTGTACTCAAGTATGTAGATTTAGCCTTCTTAGAGGCTTCATTATGGTGGCTAACTGGAGTAGCTAGGTGTAGCTTTTATAGCTGTACTCAAGTATGTAGATTTAGCCTTCTTAGAGGCTTCATTATGGTGGCTAACTGGAGTAGCTAGGTGTAGCTATTATAGCTGTACTCAAGTATGTAGATTTAGCCTTCTTAGAGGCTTCATTATGGTGGCTAACTGGAGTAGCTAGGAGTAGCTTTTATAGCTGTACTCAAGTATGTAGATTTAGCCTTCTTAGAGGCTTCATTATGGTGGCTAACTGGAGTAGCTAGGTGTAGCTATTATAGCTGTATTCAAGTATGTAGAAGTAGCCTTCTTAGAGGCTACATTATGGTGGCTAACTGAAGTAGCTTTTATAGCTGTACTCGATAAACCACTTGATCTAATTCCCTTTGCTGGCTAGTGGCTACCCTAAAATTGCCTGATTACTGGCTACCCTAAAATTGCCTGATTACTGGCTACCCTAAAATTGCCTGATTACTGGCTACCCTAAAATTGCCTGATTACTGGCTACCCTAAAATTGCCAGATTACTGGCTACATCAACGAGACCAAATTTACTTGAGACTCAATACGTAGGCTAGACTTTCTAGCTACATTTAGCTAGCTAGTTTACCTATGTAGGTTACATTTTCTAGCTACATTTTTAGCTAGCTAGTTTACCTATGTAGGTTACATTTTCTGGCTACATTTAGCTAGCTAGTCTACCTATGTAGGTTACATTTACTAGCTACATTTAGCTAGCTAGCTAGCTGTCTATCTAGACTAATTTACTAACAACATTTAGTCAACTCTGTAGGCTACATTTTCATGCTAACCAAAACACAACTTTAAAATTCAATATATTTTCACTTACTCAATGTATTAAAAAAATATTTTTACGTAACATAAGTAAACGTACAAAACGTAAAATAAAACGTCAGTACAAGAAATGTTTTGATGTTGACTCAACCAATGACACCCGATCCTCACATTTAGCCCGGGACATGAACGTACTATGACACGGGGTGTAAGGATCTACAGTTACCGACGGTCCGTTGTGTGACCAGGGTCCTAAAACTAGTGAATATAAATATAGACTTTCACCCGTGGCGCGTTAATGAAAAAAAAAACGACGAGGGCTGCGATAGGGATGACTCGATGACAAGAATAAAATACTTAAAAAAAACTTTTTAAAAAACCACGTTTTTCTTGTGGACTAAAAAGTAGAAAATAACTATTTACATACATTTGATGACAAAAAACGTGGGTACGTTCACCATCAAATTTCCCGACCCATCTGCCCGACCCACGTTTTTTGTCATCAAATGTATGTAAATAGTTATTTTCTACTTTTTAGTCCACAAGAAAAACGTGGTTTTTTAAAAAGTTTTTTTTAAGTATTTTATTTTCTCCTTTTTAGTCCGTTGCTACACATGAAAAACGTGTTTTTTAAAAAAGTTTTTTATATAGTTTATTTTCTACTTTATCTAATGACTTGATTAAGTATGAATTGACTAAGTGTTTATAAATACACGGACTAAAAAAATCTTGAGCGACCAGGATTCGAACCTGGGTTGTCGCGGCCACAACGCGAAGTACTAACCACTATACGATCACGGCCAGCGCGCTCACATCGATTGGGGCCGAAGTAACTGTGTCAACAAGCCTCCAGTCTTGTCGGTATCTTTAGAAATCATGTCCTCAATTTTATGGTCCTTTGGGCGTAATTAAATTAAGCTAATTACGGTCTCTAATTGCTAGTTTTTATGATTGCATCTGAAATTGTTAGGCGAAAGTAACCTGCATGCCAAATTTCAGATCTATAGAGCAATCAGAAGTGGGCTAATTTTCGATGTCAATTTTAACAACAAACACACGCGAAGCTGAGTTAATAAAAAATACTTAAAAAAAACTTTTTAAAAAACCACGTTTTTCTTGTGGACTAAAAAGTAGAAAATAACTATTTACATACATTTGATGACAAAAAACGTGGGTACGTTCACCATCAAATTTCCCGACCCATCTGCCCGACCCACGTTTTTTGTCATCAAATGTATGTAAATAGTTATTTTCTACTTTTTAGTCCACAAGAAAAACGTGGTTTTTTAAAAAGTTTTTTTTAAGTATTTTATTTTCTCCTTTTTAGTCCGTTGCTACACATGAAAAACGTGGTTTTTAAAAAAGTTTTTTATATAGTTTATTTTCTACTTTATCTAATGACTTGATTAAGTATGAATTGACTAAGTGTTTATAAATACACGGACTGAAAAAAATCTTGAGCGACCAGGATTCGAACCTGGGTTGTCGCGGCCACAACGCGAAGTACTAACCACTATACGATCACGGCCAGCGCGCTCACATCGATTGGGGCCGAAGTAACTGTGTCAACAAGCCTCCAGTCTTGTCGGTATCTTTAGAAATCATGTCCTCAATTTTATGGTCCTTTGGGCGTAATTAAATTAAGCTAATTACGGTCTCTAATTGCTAGTTTTTATGATTGCATCTGAAATTGTTAGGCGAAAGTAACCTGCATGCCAAATTTCAGATCTATAGAGCAATCAGAAGTGGGCTAATTTTCGATGTCAATTTTAACAACAAACACACGCGAAGCTGAGTTAATAAAAACGTGTTAATAAAAACGTGTTAAAAACGTGTTAAAATATTACTTTAATTTAATTTATTTTTTTGGGGGGGGGGGGGGGGTGATGTAACAGGTAGGCCTAGTCAGCTGAACAGCTACATTAGAGAGGCGAATGTTAAGCTCAGTGTTAGAAATTTGGCATGGGTTCAGAGGCGTAGCGAAGGGGGGGGGGGGGGGGGGAGGGCGGGGGGTGCGGACCGCACCGGTTGACACCATTTAGGGGGGGGGGGTGACACCAAGGCAAAAAATAGAAAAATATATAGAGAAAAACTTGAGGTGGGGGTGCAAATCGAAAGTTTGAGGGGAGGTGCAAATCAAAAGTGCCGCACCGGGTGACACCCGACCTCGCTACGCCACTGCATAGGTTAGATGTGTTTCTAGAAAGATGACAAGCTAAACAAGAGACCTCGGTGTGCGGTTAATTCAATACGGTGTTTAGTATCTAAATAATATACAACACATTAAAAAACGCATTTAGAAAATACCTTTAGATCTACTTGATACAGCTTGCGCAATGGATTCTATTTCAATCTACGAATAACTTAATATGGCGGTAGTATTTAAATATAATTTTATTAATAGATAAACATGCCTGCATAGGGTGTCATCCAAATCAACAATAATCCTCGCTTTGTTGCGCCGTTGAAAATGACACGACTAGACTAGGCCTAGGCCTAACTAATACTAGCAGAAGTGAAAACCTGTTCGAACCTACCTTTAATGGCAGGCGTTGTCAGACCAACAGATGTTGTAAGTCCGATGAGAATTGCGACAGGAAATACACAGGTGTTGGGGCGGGAGGTGGGGGGGGGGGGGGTGAGCGACTGGGCTTGCCGCACCACACGGAGCACTTTATGATGAGTAATTAATTAATAATCGATTTCAAAAGTCACCAAACACACGGACACACACACTTCGTTACCGCGATAGTAACAGATATCCTCACATGAATACGTGTGTAGTTCTATTTCATATCGTTGAAATTTTATTAGGCCAACTGTTGGCTGGTTATAGTAAGCTCTGCAGGTTGGAGAGTATGTTTCTATTAATAGAACCCCGCCAAAATTGAAGACGGGATGAAAGAAATGGTAATCCACTACAAGGTAGGTGGGCGGGGCTATAGTGTGACGTTGGGGGGACTAGTGATTGCCGGCAAATGGCCCGTTCAACACACCTCATTCACGGGTGGCTGTTTTTTGTTATCTATCAAGACTGACATCAAATGCGTCCCGAGATTTTTTTTTTATTGGAGTTTAAAAAAAACCTGTTGGATGAGTTCGAAGGCTTTTTTTTCAAAACTAACATGTGACTCTCCGGTTTAATTGACTGGTCGGATTGTTGTTTTATCAAGGAAATGGTGAGGCTTGGAGGTTCAGATTCGAGACCAGCCTCTCCATACGTGTCATTAGTAGGACAGTCGAGCACCTATGCTATCCCAACACGACCCTGTGTCAAAGGCCTTGTTCCATATGTCACACTATGTTAAATGACGTTTTTGTATGTGACACTGTGCTAAATGACACGGACCATTATTAGACTAATTCTAAACAGCAATTAGTTCCAGTGTCACACTATGTGTAAAAAAAAAAAAAAAAAAAATTATTTTATAATTTGTCAAAGTCGACGTCACACTGTGCTAGAGTTTTTGTGGCACATTGAAACGAATCTACAAACACAAAACTAACACAGCGTAACATTACTTGTAACTTGTTCATGGAAGAACACACGTTATGAATCAGATTTTTCCCTGTATTGGTTACCCCTCCCCCACCCCACTCCTTTTCACGCCCTCCCCCTTCCTCCCACAAGCACAACACTTACAAAAGCCGTCTAAATAACCTGCCCAAGGCTGGAATTGTTTGCTATCGTGGTGGTACTTGTTCTAGATGGATTTGCCATTTGTAGTGCGGACAAAGCAGAATAGAAAGACCAAATACACGGCAGTAAGGACATAACAGAATAGACTGACAACATAAACTCCCGCCGAGGGGCTGTCTATTAGAGTACCAATTGTATGGCGTCGTTGTTGTAATGTCGACCAGATGATTGGGACACAAAATGGCCTCGGACGATCATTGGTAGTACTGGAATTTGTAGTACTGGAATTTGTAGTACTGGAATTTGTAGTACTGGAATTTGTAGTACTGGAATTTGTAGTACTGGAATTTGTAGTACTGGAATTTGTAGTACTGGAATTTGTAGTACTGGAATTTGTAGTACTGGAATTTGTGGTGCTGTAGTTAGTTTGTGGAGCTGTAGTTTGTGGTGCTGGTGTTTGTGGTGCTGTAGTTTGTGGTGGTGGAGTTTGTGGTGGTGGAGTTTGTGGTGCTGGAGTTTGTGGTGGTGCTGGAGTTTGTGGTGGTGCTGGAGTTTGTGGTGCTGGAGTTTGTGGTGCTGGAGTTTGTGGTGGTGGAGTTTGTGGTGGTGCTGGAGTTTGTGGTGCTGTTGTTTGTGGTGGTGCTGGAGTTTGTGGTGGTGGAGTTTGTGGTGCTGGAGTTTGTGGTGGTGGAGTTTGTGGTGCTGGAGTTTGTGGTGGTGGAGTTTGTGGAGCTGGTGTTTGTGGAGCTGGAGTTTGTGGTGCTGTAGTTTGTGGTGGTGCTGGAGTTTGTGGTGCTGGAGTTTGTGGTGCTGGAGTTTGTGGTGCTGGAGTTTGTGGTGGTGCTGGAGTTTGTGGTGGTGGAGTTTGTGGTGCTGGAGTTTGTGGTGCTGGAGTTTGTGGTGCTGGAGTTTGTGGTGGTGCTGGAGTTTGTGGTGGTGGAGTTTGTGGTGGTGGAGTTTGTGGTGGTGCTGGAGTTTGTGGTGGTGCTGGAGTTTGTGGTGCTGGAGTTTGTGGTGGTGCTGGAGTTTGTGGTGCTGGAGTTTGTGGTGCTGGAGTTTGTGGTGGTGCTGGAGTTTGTGGAGCTGGAGTTTGTGGTGGTGCTGGAGTTTGTGGTGCTGGAGTTTGTGGTGGTGGAGTTTGTGGTGGTGCTGGAGTTTGTGGTGCTGGAGTTTGTGGTGGTGGAGTTTGTGGTGCTGGAGTTTGTGGTGCTGGAGTTTGTGGTGGTGCTGGAGTTTGTGGTGCTGGAGTTTGTGGTGGTGGAGTTTGTGGTGGTGCTGGAGTTTGTGGTGCTGGAGTTTGTGGTGGTGGAGTTTGTGGTGGTGCTGGAGTTTGTGGAGCTGTAGTTTGTGGTGCTGGTGTTTGTGGAGCTGGAGTTTGTGGTGCTGTAGTTTGTGGTGGTGGAGTTTGTGGTGGTGCTGGAGTTTGTGGTGCTGGAGTTTGTGGTGCTGGAGTTTGTGGTGCTGGAGTTTGTGGTGCTGGAGTTTGTGGTGCTGGAGTTTGTGGAGCTGGAGTTTGTGGTGCTGTAGTTTGTGGTGGTGCTGGAGTTTGTGGTGCTGGAGTTTTTGGTGGTGGAGTTTGTGGTGGTGGAGTTTGTGGTGGTGGAGTTTGTGGTGGTGCTGGAGTTTGTGGAGCTGGAGTTTGTGGTGCTGGAGTTTGTGGTGCTGGAGTTTGTGGTGCTGGAGTTTGTGGTGGTGCTGGAGTTTGTGGTGGTGGAGTTTGTGGAGCTGGAGTTTGTGGTGGTGCTGGAGTTTGTGGTGCTGTAGTTTGTGGTGGTGGTGTTTGTGGTGCTGGAGTTTGTGGTGCTGGAGTTTGTGGTGCTGGAGTTTGTGGTGCTGGAGTTTGTGGTGGTGGAGTTTGTGGTGCTGGAGTTTGTGGTGGTGGAGTTTGTGGTGGTGCAGGATTTTGTGGTGGTGCAGGAGTTTGTGGTGGTGCAGGAGTTTGTGGTGGTGCAGGAGTTAGTGGTGGTGGTGGAGTTTGTGGTGCTGGAGTTTGTGGTGGTGGAGTTTGTGGTGGTGCTGGAGTTTGTGGTGCTGGAGTTTGTGGTGGTGCTGGAGTTTGTGGTGCTGGAGTTTGTGGTGCTGGAGTTTGTGGTGCTGGAGTTTGTGGTGGTGCTGGAGTTTGTGGTGCTGGAGTTTGTGGTGCTGGAGTTTGTGGTGCTGTAGTTTGTGGTGGTGGTGTTTGTGGTGCTGGAGTTTGTGGTGCTGGAGTTTGTGGTGGTGCTGGAGTTTGTGGTGCTGGAGTTTGTGGTGGTGGAGTTTGTGGTGCTGGAGTTTGTGGTGCTGGAGTTTGTGGTGCTGGAGTTTGTGGTGCTGGAGTTTGTGGTGCTGGAGTTTGTGGTGGTGCAGGAGTTTGTGGTGCTGGATTTTGTTGTGCTGGATTTTGTGGTGCTGGAGTTTGTGGTACTGGAGTTTGTGGTGCTGGAGTTTGTGGTGGTGCAGGAGTTTGTGGTGGTGCTGGAGTTTGTGGTGCTGGAGTTTGTGGTGCTGGAGTTTGTGGTGGTGCAGGAGTTTGTGGTGGTGCTGGAGTTTGTGGTGCTCGAGTTTGTGGAGCTGGAGTTTGTGGAGCTGGAGTTTGTGGAGCTGGAGTTTGTGGTGGTGCAGGATTTTGTGGTGGTGCAGGAGTTTGTGGTGGTGCAGGAGTTTGTGGTGGTGCAGGAGTTAGTGGTGGTGCTGGAGTTTGTGGTGGTGCTGGAGTTTGTGGTGGTGCAGGAGTTTGTGGTGGTGCTGGAGTTTGTGGTGGTGCAGGAGTTTGTTGACGCGAACGTCATTTGCTCTGGTCTCGCTCTGTAGACCCGTGAACACGACAAAAGCCCTTGTCTTATGGGGGGGGGGGGGCATGGCCTATCATCGCAGCGGGTTCGATTAGGGTTTAGTTCAGTGTCATTGATCAAATGTTTAATGGTTATCATTGGCTTTAGCTCAGTAGTTTTAAATCTATCTTTAACTCATCAAATCAGTTTTAGCTCAAAATCAAATAATGTGCTTAGCTCGAAGCATAGCCTACAAACGATCTTAGCTCAAAATAACTTTGGCGACACGTATAACTAACCTCAGTTCAAAACATCCAATTGACCTTAGCTCAAAACATCTAATCGACCATAGCTCAAAACATACAATTGACTTTAGCTCAAAACACCCAATCGACCTTAGCTCAAACCATCAAATATACATTAGCTCGAAACATCCAATCGACCTTAGCTCAAAACGTTCAATCAACCTTAGCTCAAAACACCCAATCAACATTAGCTCAAAACATCCAATCGACCTTAGCTCAAAACATCCAATACACAGTAGTTAAAAAATTCCAATATACGTTAGCTCAAAACATTCAATCGACCTTAACTCAAAAACATCAAATCGACTTCAGCTCAAAACATTCAATCGACCTTAACTCAAAAACATCAAATCGACTTTAGCTCAAAACATGCAAACGACCTTAGCTCAAAACATCCAATCGACCTTAGCACAGCAACCAAACAAGTCCCATGTGTTCCAGCATTAGCCTGGCATAAAGCAGATCAAAAGACAGGGCTAGGTCGGGTGGTCACACAATGTCTGAACGTCTGACGTTTATGTCGTACCATCTGAACGTCTGACGTATATGTCTGGCTAATGAGACCAGCTAAACACCATAGGTCGGGTGGTCGTACGTCTGAACGTCTGACGTTTATGTCGTACCATCTGAACGTCTGACGTATATGTCTGGCTAATGAGACCATGTAAACACTACTGTATAGTGCCAACACGGATACAACAGAGGAAACAAAAGGGGGTCTTAATTTCAACATCAGCGGAGTTGATTGTTCCTTAATGTGTTTACCTTGTTCACCCCCCCCTCCCACACACAGCCAATGATTCACCTCGGACAACCAAGGAGAGGTCAAGATAAATTACCATGATACAGCTAACCCTATTCAACCCGAAATCGGAGCGAAATTTAATACACGTTGTACAAGCGAAGTTCTTTATTTCAAAGATTTTTTTTTCTTGAAGACAATCCCCATGGAATAAAAAAAAATGTCGTCGTATTAGTAACCGTAGGTCCTGCTTTCAAAATAAATGTAGATGTTTAAATTTTTAAAAAATTAAATATCCTATGTATTTTGATAAATGGTTCGCGGTCTCTTTGTGCTATTAATTCAATGAGAGTGGTTTCTGGTTCTCGTGAATTTTTTCTGCATTACGTCTGTGTGATTAGGTATCACAGGGCCGTCATTGTGTACAATGTAAGCCTGTTGATTGGACGTTGTGAACTACAAGTACAAAAAATTAACGTGTTTACATGTAACATGTACACAAGGGTCGGGTGAATCATGCTTGAGAACCACCCCCCACCTCCCCCTCCACCACCTTTCATCTCTTCAAGGTCAAACGACGTGTATCTAAATACGGTCGTGTATTTAAATTTCACTGGCAGTTTAAAAAATGGATGAAAAAAAGTATTTAGATCTAACTCTTTCCTAATCTTGAAAATTATATTTAGAAAGGTAAGGATGAGGGGGGGGGGGATGATGGTAATTCTTAACCCCACCAGGCTTGAATAATACATCAGGAATCGTATGCAAGATTCAATCAAGGATATTCAATGGATATGTAAGGTTTAGGCTTAAAAGCAGAACTATAAATAGCCAGTGCAAATACATAGCTCATTAGATGCAGGAGTAGGTAGTGGTCAGGTGGGGGTGGGGCGGTGTTGTTTGGAAGGATCTGAGAACACAGCCAACTCTGGTACCGGACGTCCGCACCTTTTAGCTATGAGATGGACGTGCTATCCATCTGACCAGTTGACTCAAGTGAGTGTACTGAGTTATTAATAGCAAAGAAGGTGATTATGAATAAGATAGGGTGGGTACTACTAGACCGTATAATAATGTTAAATTAGCATTAACTAGAGATCGACGATGCGATGGAGCAAGGATAGGGTACGATTTAATCAGATCGCGTTGTGTTAGGCAAGAAAGATGGTGATGGGTGACAGCCGACGTAAGATGGTGATGGGTGACAGCAGACGTAAGATGTAGATCCGCTCGTGCTAAGTTCGTCAATGTTACGACACGGATGATTGAACACCAGCCGGACACGTCAGGGCACAGATCTAGAGAGTGAAGACATACCTGTGATCACAGATCTAAACAGTGAAGGCATACCTGTGATCCAGACATTTGCATACACGTCCAGGTTATAGATATAGAGAGCCAAGGCATACCTGTGATGACAGATCTAGAGAATGAAGGCATACCTGTAATCACAGATATAGAGAGTGAAGGCATACCTGTAATCACAGATATAGAGAGTGAAGGCATACCTGTGATCACAGATATAGAGAGTCAAGACATACCTGTGATCACAGATATAGAGAGTGAAGACATACCTGTGATCACAGATATAGAGAGTCAAGGCATACCTGTGATCACAGATATAGAGAGTGAAGGCATACATGTGATCACAGATATAGAGAGTGAAGACATACCTGTGATCACAGATATAGAGAGTGAAGACATACCTGTGATCACAGATATAGAGAGTGAAGGCATACATGTGATCACAGATATAGAGAGTGAAGACATACCTGTGATCACAGATATAGAGAGTGAAGACATACCTGTGATCACAGATATAGAGAGTAAAGGCATACCTGTGATCACAGATATAGAGAGTAAAGGCATACCTGTGATCACAGATCTAGAGAGTCAAGGCATACCTTTGATCACAGATCGCGAGAATGTAGCCATACCTGTGATCCAGAAATTTGCATACACGGCCAGGTCAAGTGCTAGGTCGGTTCTATCAACCCACCTGAGAGCTTGACGTCACGGATCTCGACACGGTCGGTTTGGTTGGGCCGTGACAAGGATCACCCCTGTTGGGGGGGGGGGGGGTAGTAGGGGGGCTCGTAAGGTATTCATCAACATACAGGTTGGCTGGTGACGTCACGAATCTTCCTGTGTCATGTATGATATAAATATCTTAAACAAGCAGATGTGTGGGCGGTGTGTGTTTGTGGGTGGGTGGGTAAGTGTGTGGGAAAATAGTGATAACAGTTGATACAGTGAATGAACTTTTTATCTGTAACTTGGAGCTCAGTTTGATGCTTATCAACGTATTGTAAATTACCTTCGTGAATGTGGTCCAACTCATTTTTTGTTGCGTCAGCTGGACTGAATTTAAAAAAAAAGATTACATTTGTTTTAAACTTAGGTCGCCATTCTCAGTATCCCACTTCATTTTTTTTAATATGTTTGTTGCGTCCATTTGCTGATGAGAAATGGCAGTGTGTTATTGTTTTATTAAGTGAGTTGTGTGGAAAATTGAGTGGGGATTTGTGAGGAAATAGTGGGGGAGTTGTGGGGAATAACTGTAAACAAACATCTGGTGGAATGACAGGTTGGGATGTTTCTGTAGTAAGGTTGAAATTTAGAGGATGTTTCTGTAGAAAGGTTGAAATTTAGAGGATGTTTCTGTAGTAAGGTTGAAATTTAGAGGATGTTTCTGTAGTAAGGTTGAAATTTGAGGGCTGTTTCTGTAGGAAGGTAGAAATTTAGGGGTGTTTCTGTAGAAAGGTTGAAAATATTTGTACAGACAAGCAACTGAACTTTGAAATTTCTATGCGGATTAATTACGCTACAACTGAGTCTTCTGTGCCGGCAGAAAAATGTCACCATTGGGGTGTCTGAACAGTCAAGACACGTCACCATGGTGATGGTTGTAACAAACTTCAACATTCTGGTGTCTGAACAGACAAGAGACGTTACCATGGTGATGTCTGAACAGACAAGACACGTTACCATGGTGATGGTTGTAAGACACGTCACCATGGTGATATCTGAACAGACAAGACTCGTGATCTCTAAGACAGGTCCAGACTCAGATGCCGACAGCCACCAATGATGAGAGAGCCGGGACTTAATCGAAAAGATCAGCCAACTTAATTAGAAGCCGTCAGCGAGTCGGTATGCTGATGTAAAGCGTCTTGTTATTTCATGTTTACACTGGGAGGGGGTAGAGGGGGGTAGAATGCTGGACATGTTCGTGGACATTTTGTCGTCCCTGGACATTTTATCCTCCCCGGAGCAATGGAGGAAGTTATTGTTGTGACCGGTAACCGGATTCTCACTGGAGGGGGGGGGGGGGGGGATTAACTGAAGGGGTTGGGAAGTCAATGTTAGGTTATTTTCGTATCCGTGAGTCAAGGAGTCAGCAATAGGATATTTCTCCAGCAGTCAGTCTCAGGGTTCGGGTGTGGGTGTTTGTGTAGGAGGGGGTATCACAGCATGATAAAGGAGTTCTATAAATCTAGCATGGCGTCTATCCGTAATGAAGTTGGTAGTTGATTTCATTGGTCAGATCAATCACAGCAGCGTTAAGCTTATGGTGTATTGATAGATCACATTTGTCAAAGCCCCTTCCCCCCCCCCCCACCTGAAGAAAGTCTACCCCCCCCCCCCAAAAAAAAACTTCAAGCCCCCCCCCCCCCCCCCCCGGAGAAAAAATGCCTGGAAGAAACACTGGTCAGATCAATCACAGCAGCGTTAAGCTTACGGTGTACAGAGAGATGGCTCAAGTGATAACTGTCGTACATGTGTACAGCACTCAACTTGACGTGTGTACATCATGTTCATTATAATTAACCGGAAATCAGCCACTGGTAAAAAAAATGAACTGTGTGGTAGAGCGCTCGTATGTTAACTCTGAAGTCGCGGGTTCGTTGAATCATCTACTAAGCTGTGAAAGTCACGTAATTTACTTAAAAGACCCTAAAGCCAGTCGGGCTTTGTTAAGCCCATACAATATCTGTATTATGCCCTAACCACTAAAACGTAGGGATTCTATTTGGCCTGCCGTATAGGCTGTATTGTACTGCGAGTATTATTGTACTGACATTATATGTCAATTTTTTTTTCAATTCAAGAGCTCCAGCACAAACATGCATTGTTCAAGTCTACAACAACCGAGGCACGTTCATCATTCATGCCTCAGTCGTGTGTAGTGTTTTGGTGTGCTATACATTACTGACACATCAAACATGAAACATCAGACACATCATAGTCATCAAACAAAACAAAATACAGCAGGAAAATGGTTTTCAGAACTGCATTGTTTTGTGATGCTGATTACTTGATATGTAAGAAGCTATTTTAAATTAAATATTGATTTAATAGTTTTGCCAATAAATTGCATGTTTCAAATAGGACATGTTTAATGTTGAGGGTTTAGGTGTGTGAATTTACATCAGTAGTGCAACCAGGGTGTAGTGTGTTATCTAATGTGTAGTTAACATAATGTGTAGTATGTTAATCATAGTGTGTAAAAGGTAGATGGTGTATATGTACAGCTTCCCTATCTCCCATTAAAAAACGCAGATCTTTCTTTAGTTCTTCTATTCATGAAACTATACAAAGCCAAACATCGCACGAAGTAAACTCCTCTAATAGCTTTGACATTATGATTAAACCAGATATCAATCTCGATATCCAAGTCAGGAAGTGGAGATCTAGTTACGTCCCTTTATTTTGTACAGGGTTACCTAACCTTCACTGTGTAGAAGAGTGTTAGAAACTTACATTCGTGAAGCGAGTGCATTTTTTTTTCTTTTTATTAAAATAAAATCTATTATTAGTTGTATGCGAGGGTGCGGTCGAGTGATAAAACGCACGATTGCTCCACCGAAATACAAGGGTTCGGATCCTAAACGAATCGTCAAGGTGTCACAGAACCCACCCAGCTCTAATTGGTACTCGACACAAGTTGGGTCTGGGTATAAGATTGAAAGAATTATCCTTTTATACGACATGGTGACAGAACAGGTAAATTCTGCGACTAACGGTGTAACTATACACTGCATGTGTTACTAGGATTCAGAGGCGTAGCGAGGGGGGGGGCGGAGTTGCGGACCGCACCGGGTGACACCATTTAGGGGGGTGACACCAAGGCAAAAAATAGCAACATATATAGAGAAAAACTTGAGGGGGGGGGTTCAAATCGAAAGTTTGAGGGGGGGGGGGTGCAAATCGAAAATTTGAACCTTTGTCCCCGGGAAGGGTCGCTACGCCTCTGGGGGGTGACACCATTAAGTGCCGCACCGGGTGACACCCGACCTCGCTACGCCACTGCTAGGATTACGTGTAGTTACTACATGAGTGTTAATGTAGGCAATCAAACACAGGTTAGACTATCCCACCTAAACTATAGCAGCCTCCAATATTTAACCAAGACAAATATATAATAAAATATTTCTTAAATGTAAAAGTGGCTAGGTCTAATTATAAACCGTCCTAAATAATTTCTCTCTCTCTGATCCACACCTCAACTGATGCTCAAAATATAATGCTAATTACCCACACCCGTACCGTGACCCAAACAAATTAACTAGCAATTAAAAAGTAATTGGATATGGCGAAAAACAACATAATTCGATACTGTATAGCTTAGCCCTATGGGGGTTATAGCAAGAGAACTAGAACAAGCAGGCCTACTTGCCACAACCTAGACTACAAACAATTAAAACAATAAAATCATGACTTGACAAAACCCTAATTCACATAACGTAGCAGTCATAAATGCTTCAAGCATACACAAATGTATTACATGTCACAATCTCTAACAGCAGGGGTTTTGTAAGCAGATAGTTACATTTAAAAAACCTGAAATGTTGAACTTTACTATCTTATAAAGACAGCTATAAACATAAATGTAAAGCTAGGCTGTATTGGACATGTCTGGTAGAGTTTCTCATCGATCACTGTCTTTGTGTTTATCCTAATGGGGTGTGTGTTCGAGTCTGGCCCTAACACGGGCCAATAAATCAAGGCACCATGTTGGAAAGATGAAGAAACGACTGTAGGCCAAGAAAATAATTAGCATTGTATTGTCCAGACGTGTCGGCCTACATAATGGTTTGTCTTTAGGCCGATTCTAGCCGGAAAAAGATACGCATGCGCAGAACTATCTTTTGCCGATGTAGAGAATAAAGACAACGGACTACTCGGAAAAAGATTTTTCGTCCCACCGAGTAGTCCGTTGTCTTTATTTTCTACATTTGCGATATATGGGCTGATTCTTATGCTATGATAAGAGATGATAACTTATCATTGATAATTTTATAATATAGCACGGCTGGAAGAGAGACTGGTGGCTTACCTTAGATGTCACGTGACTTGTAGAT